GGGGCAGTTGCCCCGATTTGCCCCTCTCCCAAGGATGGCCCTGGGGCCCAGGACCTGGGTCTGCAACCCCCTGCCCCCCAGCAGTGCCCAGGCCCTGGCTGTCCCCTGTGGGAGGCAGCAGCTGCTGTGGCCAGAGTGGAGAGTAGAGCCCAGCTCCCCCTCCCACATGGGTGGCACGGCTGGAGCAGAGCCTGTGGAGAGGGGCAGATGTTGGCTGGCGGTTCTGGCCTTGGGTCTCCCTGCCCTACTGCTCTCCCCCCAAGGGCCTCTGTGGCCCAGCAGGTGGGGCCCGGTATGGCAGGGCAGAGCATGGGGGAGTGGGAAGGCTCGGTGCCACCGCTGGGAGCCCCGCGCTGCCATGGCCAAGCACCCCCTACTCACCCAGCAGCAGCAGGGGGCACTCTTCAGTGCTGCTACCTTTGCTGCTGCTGGGTGGGCAGAGGGCACCTTGCCATGATGGTGTGGGCCTCCCGACAGTGGCACCGAGCCTCCCCACCTTGCTCTGCCATGCCCCACTGGCCCATGGAGGCCGGTAGAGGGCAGCAGGGAGGGAAACCCCAAGCCTGCAGCCACCAGCCTGCATCCACCCCCACCCTGTGCACAGATCTGGGGGGGGCACATGCTCCCTCCGCCACCCCCTGGAATGCATGCAGCAGCTGGGAGCTGCACCCCTCAGATGAGCTCCTCATGGCTCCATCCTGCTCCCTGCCTGAGCCAGTCCCAGGCCCCAAGCCCCACACACCACCCTGGCTGAGTAGCACCCCCAACCCTAGTCCCACCCTGGCCTAGCTTCCTTCCTCACTATGGGGGCCTCAATCCCCCCCTCTGCCCTGACTTACCTGCGGGGAGCTGCGGGAGCTGCTCTCATGGTACCTGCCTGGCTGTCACATGCATGTGTGCGTGCACACATGCACATGGCACCCCCTGCCTGATTGCCCTCCTCCTGCTCCCCCAACCCCCTTGCAGCCTGGAGGTCTGCCAGCCTGCAAGAAGAAACCCACCGTTTCCCACATTTTTCTCCTTTAAAGGAGAAAATCTGTGGTTATCTTCTTAAAAGAGAAAATCTGCATTTTTTTCCTCAAAATAATAACATTAATGTTTTTACGCATTTTCCCGTGGTGAATGGAAAACTCAGATCTCTGGTGACTACAGTTTTCCTGTTTCCTTTCTTCAGTCTAAACTGTCTAGTGCTGCTGCTAACAGCAGCTGCACTTCAGGCAGAGTTGTTGTTGAGTAAGAGTGCCATATGCTGGAATGAAGACTAACTATCTGCCATCATTGCTGGCCTGGCAGATAAGTACTAGAAGCCTTGTGCCGGCACAGGTGGCTACACATTGAGGCATTCTGTGATTCAGCCATATTTATAGTAACAACTTCATGGCATCGGCTGGATTTTTCCATATCGTTCCAGCATGGCTGAAAGATAAGAGCTGAGAGGCTAGGAATGGAGCATTACCTTGTGAGAGACTTGAGCAGCACCAGCAAGGCCACAGTCACACGATTCTGCCCATAACACCAAATGCAGAATCTCTGGTCTTGGTGGTGTTGACAAGTGTAGCAATGATGAAATGTCCTGTAATTGTGCAGTAAGTGAAGTTTTATCCTATCATGACGGACTCAAGCATGGCAGTTTCATGACTCCATGCACTGAGAATCATACAGAAATTGTCAACATGCTATAAGCCACAGATACGCTAATGCAGGAGAAAAGGTAGGTGAATGATGGCCAGGCAATGGATGAGTCAGGAAACTGCATGGAGGAGTTTGTCCTGGGAGGTCTAGGGAGAGACCCATGGACACAAGGCAAAGAAAGTGCTGAGGTTTTGTGCGTTGGGAAGGCAAAGCAAGCATGGGTGGGCCTGATCTAACCAGCTTGTGGGGGTCCGAAGATGACTAATGAGAGATGGGGAGAGGAGGAAAGGGATACAGAAAGAGGGGAAAGTGGTGGGTTCTTTGCTAGTGCAAGCTGACCTGCTGGAACCTGCCAGCAGGAGACAGCTAAGCTCCCCCTCACTAGCCCAGTTGGGAGTATTCATCAGATGCTTGTAACTATAATTATTGCATGGGGGGGTCGTTAAGGAGTATTGTAATACTGCTCCCTAATGCATAGTGAGTGCTTTGTTATAGTGGTTCAAAGCCTCTGTTTAAGGTAACAGTGTAACTGCTGTCAGCCTTCGGATTTTGCCAAGGCCTTTTAGCCGATTTCCTGTCATAGTCAGTGAAGTTTCAGCAAGAAGTTAACAGGTCCATTTATAACTGGCATCAATTGTGTCCAAGCTGTCATGGGCAACTGGTCCCTCCCAAGTCTGGGGGGGGGGGGGGGGAG